TCCTGCCTTTGGGGGGCACTTCTTGAGTCCTGATAGCCTTGCTGATATCCTCTGGGAGGAGGACCTCGTCCACCATTCGCGGGTTGTCGTCCATAGTCGCCTTGACCTCGCTGGCTATCAAAACTGGGGCGACCGTTTGGTGGCATCATTGATCTCTGGTTCAAATCCATGTTGGACATTTGTTCAACCATCTGCTGCTCATGCCCCATGTCTGGTCGTCGTCCTTGACCTTGTGGGGGATACTGATTTCCAAAATGCGCGTCTCGAGGGCTCATAGGGGGCGTGTTTGTCATTGGCGCACGGCGTGCTTTGGTCATGGTCAGCACAGAAGCATTACACGGCGCGTGCTGGACTCACCTGCTGGATCCGAATGCGCGCCATAAGGACCTGGTCGCATACCGCCTCTTCCAGGCGGCCCATTGGGCATGCCTCGATCTGGTGCTGGGCCCATGCCTCCCCGAGGAGGATATCCGCGTCCTCGGTGGGGATCAGCTGTCTGTGGGCGAGGAACTGGTCCTCCTCCGCGCCCACCAGGCATCGGGCGTCCACCGCGACCTGGCCCAGGTCCGTACGGATCTTGAGGCGGAGGTGGCCCTCGTCCATAGTTTTGATCCTGATATTGTCCCCCATATTCCTGCCCGTAACCCTCATTGTAACCATCGTATCCATAGCCATTTTGGTAATCGTCATACTGTTGTGGTGCTCCGTACTGTTGTGGAGGCGCGCCGCCCTGCTGTCGCGGGGCAGGCCTTTGTGGCGCTGGACCCCCGTAAGATCGTTGTTGGCCGCCGTAGCCTCCGTCGTATGCCATGATTATACGCTGGCAATATTCGAAAATGGACGAAAGTTGGAGGGTTTGGCTTCCAGAGCCTTGGTGAGGTTGTCGTCAAGCGACCCAGGACCCAGGGGGGCTGTAGGATTTCACAAATTCCGCCGAGAGAAGGTGTTTAGGTTGGTAGGCGCAAAGGATTACAGTCGCATTGCCGCAGTTACAGCCACCGAGTTTCGGAATGGCGTGTGATCGGCAGTCCAGATCGCAGGACTAGCGTGAGAGACAGAAAGCAGAGGACGGTTACCGTCGACCCCAAGGACGAGAGACGGGAAAGATGAATAGGTGAAAATGTGACCGCTCTCTGAGAGACTTGCTGGCAATGAGCGACAGGGAGACAGCTGGCAGGCCGCGCAGAAACGGAGCCGGGTCAGTCGGGGAAGAGGCACAGGCACAGGCACAGCCGCCAACGGAACGGAGTAGGTACTGTAATAATAATAGGTTGGGTAGGTTGGCAAGGTAGTAACAAAAGACGATAATAGGTACCGTAGGTAATAATGACAGCGCAAACTGCAAAGGACAGGGAGGGCCCTAGACAATCTGTTTGACCGAGTTGCAGCGCCCAAAAAAAGAGGACAAGAGAGAGACCTAGGTAAGACAAAGGAAGCTTCAAGATGGCGCAGATTAAGATGCGGAAGGGAATTTCCCTTTATGTCTGGCTCGTCCGAAACGACCACAGAAGGCACTGTACTGTACCTTCTCCAAGGTTGCCTCCAACCCCCAACGTGACCTGCCCCAGGGTTGGTCTAGTCTCTCTAGAACACATCCCGTCCATCCATCTTCTTTCTTCACATCCATCGAAGCTTGTGGGGTCAGGGCGCCAATCCTCCTCGAGTCCTGTGGCTTTGTCGCTGTGTAGGGCCGTTTTCGAGGTCACCTTGGGTGGGGATGGCCAGGTACCATCTGCATGTCCTGGTGGCCACTGAAGCCGTGCAGCACTTGGCGGGCGGTACCTTGCCTTAACTTGAAGCCCAGTTGGAGGGGCTAGAGGGGTCGGGCACCCTAGAAGCGAGACCGAGGGGCTTCCAGGGGGGTGTCATGATGCGGCTTGCCCCTGGAAAAGTCCTGAAAACGTTGTCAGTCTCCATCCGGCCTCCAGGGTCCCGGGCCCTTTTTTCGATCCTCATCATCCATCTCTAGCTTCAGAAAGCTAGCTCTTCGCGTGTTCACTAAGCGAAGCTCTTTACCAAGGTCATGAGAATGCGATTTACGAAAATTGAGGTCCTCGAGACCGTACATGTCGTGGCCGAAAGGAGCTCTCTTCACCGACTCACATCGGCCCATCCAGCTCTCTCATTACCACCACCGCGAACCCGTTCATGGCTAACCCAAGCCATGCTGGTCCAATGGTGCCGTATCACGAGATTCGTCACTGACCTACCCATTCCAGTGGCTCCAATTACGGGGCGCTACGCCGCTGCCGGCTTGGCTCTCAACCGCCAGCGGGTGCATGGCTGTCTGTGGCTCAACCCAGCCCCTGGCCATCAAATGTTAGCTTTGATCGGCTCTTGTCCAGGAGATCATTTTATCAAACCCTTTGATGCTCATGGGTACCACGTAGCACTTGATCTATTGTTTTTTCCTGCTGCTACCCTGATCATTATGCGCTGGGGTGCGTCAGAGCCCTCTGCACCAGGCAAAGCATTGCCGTGTATCAGAATGGCATGGCCTCGGCTTCATATTGGTGAAGCTTACCTCCTTTGACGTATGGGATCCAGCCATCGAACTCGACGGAAAGTCATGCAAAACAGCTCCAGTAGAGGGGGCTGGCTCTCCGGGTCGAAACGAAATAATGAGCAAGATCCTTCAAGGCCGCTTCTCCGTGGTCGATCGACCCCAGCGGCCCCAGGCGCGGTTCCTCGCATAACATCATCTGTGGAGTCGGCCAAGACTCCGTGCCTCATCGACGAACGCTTTCTGTGGTGTCTCCGATGAGAGGCTTTGCGGACCCTTTCGGAGGATATCTGGCCCAGCCGCCACGGGATGAGAGACATTGTGGCACTTGTTGAACGCGGCCATGCGGGTCTACTTGTCAAACCGAACCTGGCTTACCACCATTTCGACGTCAGAAGAGGCCTCATCGAGCCCCGATGACCTTGGCTGTGGCCTTCACGTGAGAAAACAGTTGAAGGTGAATGGGTCCATGACATCGACGGACTGGCTCGTATATCTGACATTGCCGGGATATTCAATCCGCCCGATGGCTTCTCGAGACGCTATACGTCAGGCAGGCCTCCGAGCTGACCACAAGCTTCGACCAGTCAGAGGCTGTGAAGCGTCTTGATTGGGAAGATGGGTCTTGCCACCTCGCGACGGCATGTTTTGCACGACAGGCAAATTCCATTGTGTGGGCGGTTGAAACAGAGGCCAAGCCACATGCGTGGCCATCCGTTGGGCGCTTGTACAACTTGATTGCCGCCGCCAAATTGTGGCTCAGAGGGAACCAATTGACAAACAATCCCATTGTATCAGATATCATCCGGTACTACAATTGTTTCCGGCAGCCAGCGATGTCAGCTTGCAATGTTTCATTTGTCACTGGCCTGGTCATTGGTGTTGCTCACAGCTTGCTTCAGTGACTGCGAGCCTCGATGTGGCTGAGAGCAAGTGGCGGAGAGGTTGACGTCGGAGTCGGGACAAGGCCACCTCCGAACATTGACCGCCTGCCCGACCTGGTGATCTACCAATGAAGTGCATACTGCCAAATCAATGACGGATGCAGAATCGCGAAAATCATCATTGGAAGAAGTGGCACTGAAGCAGAGTTCATCCCACCCGCCATTGCGCACTTTTACTACAACTTCACCGAATTGAAGTAATTGCGGCTTCTCCAGAAATTGCCATGGCATCGAAAAAGCCGTCGTCGAGGTGGTGGTTCTGGACCAAGGTCATGCTTGGGTAAGTCGATGACAATGGAGCAGCTGGTTGAGCCGGAACTGACGGATTGACAAGTGGCGCTGTGGTCGCTGTCGGCGGACCTGCCTTTACCATGTGGTTGACTCCCACCGAAGAGGAGCTACGATCGAGATATAACCCCGAACTACGAAAGAAGAGCTTGGAGAACAGAGAGGAGCGACAGCAAGAGTTTGACGACTTTGTGACCCGATTGAAGGAGTACTCCAAGTCGGACAAGCCCAGTGAGTGTGTCCTGTTTGAGGATTGACGACATATACTGACCTCCTTATCAGTCTGGATAGTGGTCAAGGAGGAGGAGGAGCGAAAGAAGAAGGCGGCTGCTGCTGCGGCCAAGGCGTCACAGCAAGAGACTGATGCCCGACGAGAAGAGATGAGACGGGAAGCTGGTCTGGATTCGAAATAAAACAGGGCGGAATGACAGGGCAACTTTGGATACCCATCGAGTGCTTGTAAGAGTATTGACGTGATGGAAGGCTACTCGTGTACAACAACTGGGTGAACGGCAGTCATGATGGACGGTATGAACATCTATGTAAAGCAATTGGGGTTTCTAACGACTGAAAAATATAGCCAACTTCTCTCGATCAACAAGACTGACAGTTGGTAGTTGTTTGTTGAAATATTGCATTGACTGATATCCATGCTTCTCTGCTGAGGCTTTCGACTTGTTTGCAGACTGATGTAGACGCAACACTGACACTTGCCTATCTAGGTAGGCATTGTTATTTGTGTAAAACCAAGGATACACTTACTATGTCTCGGCAAACGGTTCTCCGTTCTTTAATATGCACAAACAGCATGGCGACAATGATCCAGGGATATCTTGTCCAGGTCACATAGTGGAGAGCTACGAGCATGCCCTGTGCTGTGCGGCTTTACCCCACGAGCCAGGCCTAGGTACAACGTCACGGGCGTCAGTCAATGGCGCAAGTGGAAAGTGGAGGGCGGGCCACAGACCACACAACGAGAGAGCCCCCTCCTCCCCTCGGCGAAATGGTAGTTCCACAGGCGAAAACTCTTGGCACGCACAAAATCTACTTTGATCCATCACCACTGTTCGAAGCCGACGGCGACAAACAGCTCAATACCCACGCCTATCTCACCGGTACGCCGCCCAACCCGCGCCTGCACGCCTCCCCGGGCATCTTTGCCTGCAACACTCGATTTTCCCCGTCCGAATCCGTCTCAGCTGACGAGCATTGCTGCAGTTTCGATCGAGTCTCCCCCGATCCCCCCGCATCGAAATTCGCCCATCATGTCCGACGTCCAAGAGCGCCTCAAGAAGCTTGGCCTGGGAGCCCGAACTGGTATGTGAATTTCTGCCAATTTTTTGGTCTTATAAGAGAGGAAACTCAAGGGCTAACTTGCGACACAGGGTATGTTTTTGCGCACTTCGACGTTTCCCCCGCCGCCTCCGACCATCGCAGCTAACCTGGTGACATAGTGGAAAGGGCACTCCCCGAAGAAAGGTCAAGCGTGCGCCCGCCCGCTCCGGCGCCGACGACAAGAAGCTTCAGCAGGCCCTCAAGAAGCTGAACACTCAGCCCATCCAGGCCATTGAGGAGGTCAACATGTTCAAGTCTGACGGCAACGTCATTCACTTTGCTGCCCCCAAGGGTTAGTCATCCCACTCTGATCATGTCGTGTGCGCGGGGTCTTGGTGTTTTCGTTTAAATACTGACATGGGTCCCCCTCAACAGTCCACGCTGCCGTCCCCGCCAACACCTTTGCCATCTACGGTAACGGTGAGGACAAGGAGCTTACCGAGCTCGTCCCCGGCATCCTTAACCAGCTCGGCCCCGACTCGCTCGCTTCCCTCCGCAAGCTCGCTGAGAGCTACCAGAACATGCAGAAGGAGAAGGGTGAGGATGAGGACGACATTCCCGATCTCGTCGAGGGTGAGAATTTTGAGAGCAAGGTCGAGTAAATCTGCTCAATTCCATCAATGCGACGGGCTGGTGAAATCGTGGGCATGTTCGGTCAAGAGGCTGGCTAGGTTATCCCGCGAGGTGGGTTATGTTTTGCACCTGGGAATCCATAGGAGGAGGGTCGTCACAGAGCTCCCAAGGCGTCTTCTGCGTCAGGAAAACTGGGAGTCGGTACACAACACAAAAGGTCACGGCTTGCGAGAATGTCGCGGTGGAACGGCTGTATCCCGGCTGGCTGAGGTTGATTGATCTGTACAAGAAAAAAAATACGACTTACATCGGGAGAAATACCAATCTCTAATGATGACAACCATGACTACGCTCTTCTAGTTGGAAGTCTGACCCTCCCTCGTTTCTTATCCATCCTGCCAAGGCCGTTTGTCGAGCCTCCTGCTTTGCCTGTCTCCTATGGGCAAGCAACGGGCTTTCCTTCAAGTCATGATATGTGCCGCATCCCAGGTGGGTGGATGCGTAGCCTGCATTCTCTAGACTGCTTGACAGCTCTCTTGCTGTCTCCCACATTCTTCGTCTGGACATTTGACTTGCTCCCTTTGTGTTGAAGGGCTTCCGACCTTGGATCACACCACCGATGATGGTCTCCTCCACACCTGAATCTGACCATGCGGCGGCAAGATTGCTGGCAGAAATCTCCTTTGCTCGAGCTGATACAGCTCTTTTTGAAAACTCAAACTCCAGTTCTGTTGTAATAGCCTCAAACTCTCTGAATGCATACTCTCCCTGCCACTGCCTACTAACGAGAGGGCTCATCCTACCTTTTGCTGAGAAGGCACGCTGGCATCCTGAAGCAGAATACTGCGATTTTGGCAATATGATGCAGTGTATGTATGCATTTGACGGATCGATGAAAAGAGAGGTTAGAGATGAGAGGAGTGAAGTGCACTGCTTGAGGGAGAGTTTATCAGAGCAGGACTTGGACAGAGTGGGAGGTGCATCTCCTCGAGCTGGCTTTCGACGGACAACGCCGAGTTGAGAGAAGTAAGCTCGCCCTGGCAGACATTTTTCGTCAGCCAAGGCAAGTTCTGTTGCATCTGGAGTTGGCCATGGTGAAGCATCTTCCTGAGCAGCCATTGTGAGCTCCATACTGGCATCACCACCTAAACTCGTCAACCACATACACACTGTTAGTGGTTTGGGCGACTTACATGGTGCTTCTGAACAATACATATGAAGCTTTACGTCATCTCTAATTTCGAATGGCTTCAATGACATGTCGCCCTCCTTGGCTGTAGTTCTCTCCGTCCTACGAAGGATACTAGAGCCGTCATCCCCGTCGAGAAGCCTCTTACACTCGTCAAGCAAGAAGCGATTAAAGGTCCTTATGACCAGTATTTCGGCATGCCAGTCATGAATGCCTACACCATTTGACTCTGCTACTTTCGACACCGGAAGGCACTTCATGCCTGTTCTACGAGTCTACTTAGAATGTGCTGGATCACGGGTGGCAGATAGGGCTCGCTTACGCTAGAGCCAGGCAGGTCAGGATGCCATCCCGTTCGGCAACGATGCCGCTCAACGGCACCCACTCATGAAGGCCATTGTCGCGAACAGTGGGTTTCCTTTTCGCAGGGAGTTTGTCAAATTGCTGCAGCACGGTTTGCGCGATCAGATCTGGCTGGGAGGTCATTTAGACATGCCCACGATACCTCGAGAGGATCCAAGTAACCAAAAATGATACAAAAAGAATTTCAAGAATTTGAAGCAAGGTGATCTGTGTAATTCGATGGTCGTTGGCCGACAAGTCTCTCGATTGGACGAAACTCACCCCAGTCCTGGTGGAGTTTGAGGTCAGGGTGACCTCGCGCAGGTGCACGTGATGCGCGGCGTCATTTAGCGCATCGCCTGCCCTAGGTCGCTTAGTCAGTGTGCACACAACTCGAGAAATTCCAGGTTGCGCCGGATCACGAACCTCTTACTTTTCGCCCATCGCCCAATCCCCCACGGTCCAACCACACAAAACACCTTGTCGCCCCCTTTAGGAAGCACACCAGCGACAAGATGCGAACCTACGACGACACCTTCTCCGGCGAGAGAATCTACCCTGGCAAGGTACGCCAATTCCATTGCCTCTGCCCTTCCCCGTCCCCCCGGTCCGATTATCGAAATGCGAAGTTCTGGGTTACTGCTGAAGGAGCATGACGGGATCGTATCATGGGGATGGGAGGAGATCAGCTTGGTTATGTCTGTGATGAGAACATGGAGGCTAACGGGTCATCGCATCACAGGGTAAGCTCTACGTCCGCGGCGACAGCAAGATCTTCCGATTCCAGAACGGCAAGTCGGAGTCCCTCTTCCTGCAACGAAAGAACCCCCGCCGTATCGCCTGGACCGTCCTGTACCGCCGACAGCACCGCAAGGGTATCTCTGAGGTACGCATCAACCAAGTAGAAGGAGTGTTGGGGACGATGCGCTTCGCGTTCACCCACACCCTCTCCTCTTCCGATATCCAGTGACAGGACTGACACATACTACAGGAGGTTGCCAAGAAGCGAACCCGCCGTGCCGTCAAGGCCCAGCGAGGCATTGTCGGTGCCTCCCTCGACGTGATCAAGGAGAAGCGCAACATCCGACCCGAGGCCCGCACCGCTGCCCGCGCCCAGGCCATCAAGGAGAGCAAGGAGAAGAAGCAGGCCGACGCTGCCGCCAAGAAGGCTGAGAAGGCTAAGCTCGCCGCCTCTAAGGGTCAGGCCGGCCGACAAGTCAGCAAGCAGGGTGCCAAGGGCGCTGCCCCCAAGGTTCAGGCGCGAACCCGTTAAGATGGTAAATAGGGAGGATGAATGAAAATGGGAGAGTGGAGTCCGTGGTTCTTGTGTCTTTGTCCGGCCGGTTCTTCTACAATCTCGGGAGCATGGAATGCCATAGGGTGCATTGATAGTTGAGCAATGCCATATCGGTGCAAATGGTCAAAAGAGCATCTCTTGTTTGTGCCGTGACCAAGAAGAAGGTGTGCTTGCTCGACATGGGGTGGCTAGGTCAACAACTCACGGCGTCAAATGAAGGTATCATCATGTTGCTCATTAGAGAGCTACTACACACACGCTTATGACACAAGATAACGGTTTCACGCAAACAATATGTGAGGCAAGAATTGTGCTCAAATGCTCCTTCGTGGGAGTGATGTTTAGATTCTATCGTGTCTCATGCTCATATCTAGTCTATTATTTTTGGGAGACTTTTGTGCCGCAGCTCAATTACAGCTGGGCCAGGACACCGAGAGCACCGGAGGTCTCAATGCTCTGGGGGTGGTCGTCCTTGGAGGCGTAGGTGACCTTGCCGTGGTCAATGATGATGGCGAAGCGGCCAGTTCGCTCATCGAAGTTCCAGCCAATGCTGCGGGAGAACTTGGCATCCTTGTCGGACATGAAGAGCTAGGCAAATGTCAGCGTCATGCATCTTGGTAGAGGTTATTCTGGGGCATGGAACGTACAATGCTGTCGTCGGTGACACCGTTGGCCTTGGCCCAGCCGTTCATGACAAAGGCATCGTTGAAAGCAACAACGATGACCTGGTCAACACCCTTGGCCTTGATCTTGTCGATGTGCTCGGTGTAGGAAGGAATGTGGGAGCCGGAGCAGGTGGGGGTGAAAGCACCGGGGATGGAGACGAGGACGACCTTCTTGTCCTTGAACTCTGTAGTCAAAAGTCAGCATGTGAAGATGCGGTGAGAGGCTCGAGAAGAATCACATACCCTGGCTGGCGTTGTAGGGAACGGGAGTACCGCAAGTAGAGAACTTGGAGATCTCGGGGGTGGGAGGGATGTAGGTGAAGAAGACACCCTCGGGGAAGTTGTCGCCGGCCTTGAGCTCAGTCATTTTGGCTGTTTTGTTGGTGTTGGTTGGTAGATTGGTGGTGATTAGAGAGTGTGGTGAGAGTTGTGAGGGTATCAAGTTTGAGAGAGGAAGAAAAGATAAGAGCCGAGAGGTTGAAGAAATATGCACAAGATATATAGATAGCTGGTCGGTGACGGTTCGCTCCTTCCGTGACGGAAATCTTTCTAATGCCGGGCACCCACCGGGCAATCCTGCCCCTCAACCCCTCCTACCCTCTCCAATTGTCCGTGTTGCCTCCCCGCTGTTTGCCCCTTCGGAGAGCAATCGGAGGGGCGGAGAGAAGTCCACACAATCATAGACGGCATTGGCGCAAGAGGGGTCGGCGATGAGGTCAGTGAGGCCTTGTGGGCCTTTGACCGGAGCGCGGGCGACGCGGCCCAAGTGGAACCGGCGCTCGCTGCGCTGTCTTTGGTGTTGAGGGACGGGGGGACCTTGATAGTTGACCCTGCTGGAGACGGTCCCGACGCAGGGGTCCTCCAGGGATGTATTTGGAATGATGTATTTGGAATAAGGCCCTTTTGCGAGCCTCATCTGTCCCATCGTGATATCTACTATGAAAGACTATCATAATTCTTCACAGCCTGACCTGACGTCGCCGTCGGCCGCTGGCGGAAGAGAGGCTCGGCTGCAAGTCGGCGCCGAGACGTAAGGAGGGTCCTGTATCGGGCAAGTATTTGTCATTCTCTGCAGACGCAGGCAGAGAGGATCAGATTAGATTATCAGCTACAACGCTAGTCGGCCTCAGGCACAGGAACAAAGTCATTCTCCCGTATATGCCCGCCGGTAGGGTACAATCAGACGGTTCCGGAAGCTCTAGATCCGTGGTTGACGGCGGGTGGGAGTGAAACCGAAACGGCAACTTGCGGCGGATTACGCCGCATGAACGCCGCCTCTTGTCGATTTTGTACAACAGGCACCGCATTTCCGGGGGAATGACGTTCGGGTTCCTGGACCGAGCCGAGCAAAATTCTCCATTGATTTGTCAATAGCAAAGAATAGCAGCTATTCGAAACCTAAAAGTGGCGAATTCGGTGAGATCCGAGCTGAGCCCATGACTCTCGGGAACCGCCTGCTTTGGTTGGAATTTGATGCCTTTCCCGAACCGACCTCGAACAAATGCCACGTGGATTTTACCTGACAAGCACGAGTCAAGCTAAACTTGGCCAACATCCATGAAAGTCATGGAAAGCCAAAGAAACAGTCAATCAATCGACACGTCTCCACGCCAGCATGAAGTGGGGGTGCTGGGGCGCCAGAGAGCGGTGGGATTGATAGCCTCCAACCTATCGAGCCAGGATGCCCGTGATAAAAAGGTTGAATGATATCCTGCTCAAATCTCGATGTTGAGGCTCCTTTGAATAAGTGAGTTTGAAACCATTCCCCGAAGAGGCAGGTTAATTACACCTGGCTCACCGCTGGACGGAGCTCCTCGGGAGTTGGTGTTGTTGACGCCGGCAGTCGGCGGCCAGGAACAGGCCATGATTGAACCCTGGCGGTTTATTCTTGGAGATCTCAGCTGATTTGGGCATGTTGCTTCAATTAGGTGAGGGGTTCCTCGACTCCACACAAAAACCTTGACGGCATTACTAGGGTTGGTATCAACACCGTCATCCACCTCAAGATTGCAGTTTGCTCTTCTTGCCGATGATCAAATATGGCAAGGTCGGCACACGATTTTCGCTATCGTTCCGTAGAATACAAGTGATTTGTGTTGACGTGTGGGAGGATATCCTGTCAAGTTTGTGTACTTGAAGGCTACGCTCGTCAATCAGTTGCCTTAACAACAACACTCTGTAATCTTGAGCTAACAAGCACTCAATTCATGAGGTGTAACTTTTCCATCTCTTCAGAATACTTCAATTCACGGTTTGTGTCTCCTAAGGGGAGTCATTTGATGCCTACGGCATAGATCCACGATGTGGTAGGAGCCCAAGCCACTATCGGGAGATCTTGCATGCGAGGCTCTTCAAGTCAGATTGACCAGAACCTGTATCGAGATGCCTAAAAGCAATCCATACCTACAAATTCCTAGGGTTCCTGCAAATCGGCCCTCTCGTTGAGATAAGGGTCAACTGACCTGGCTCTATGCCTCGTCACTTGGCTCGCCGCTCCGCGAACACTCGGCCAGGAGGTCAAATTAAGCTATGTCAAAGTTCCACATTTGCTACTTATACATCTAGGGCTAGTTATCTCGATCTTCTGTCGTAAGCAGTTCGGATTGGTCAGACAATTCCATGGCGACATCAAGGAAGCCAAGAGTACATAGAGACACCCAGAATTCAGAAGGCTTCATATATTGCTTGCTCAAATCTCAATTTATTCTACATCAACAACTCTTGAATACCCTTTGTGAATGTTTAAAACTCACTCCAGCTTATAAATGGCGATCCTCTGGTTTAACATCTCACCTGGTAGTTGAACCGTCGAGTGCGAAACTTGAAGAAATGAGCTGCACTTCAGCGCACGGCATGCATGTTTTAATAGTATTTGCAATTTCATGCCTTAATATTATCGCCCGATTTTAATACAGCCTCGAGTTTACTGACATAGTGTTGTCTCTTGGGGAGCAGTGGTTGTAAGAGCCTCCACGGAACTCACGCAGTAGGAATGCACCCACCTCCTATGGACTCAAAGAGTTTTATTTCAAGGACATATCCAAAATATTATTTCTAATTATATAATAGCGGCCCTCAGTGTAAAGTAGAACATCCTCCCTCTAAACCTGATTGACGGTGCCCACTCTCACTGTTCTGGGTATGGCCCTTCTACAAGATGAGATGCCATGCACAATGCTCTTGGTGCTTACTAGTATCTATCAAGCAATAGCAGTCATTACTGATTCATACGAAAGCGTAGTCAAAGCTGGAATCACGGCTCAACCATATGTTTGGCCCATAAGGCCGCTACACAGTCACCTAGTAAGTATCCTCTGAATATCTATGAACGGCCCCCAATTATCTCAACTTCATGCTAGCAGCGTTCATTTCCTCAAGACGGGCATGATTGTCGTTATGTATACGGACCGAGATTAGCCGAAGCGGGGAAGCTCTGCTGCATGCATGAGCTGAGAATGGAAGAGTTATTCAGACATCACTCAACTCATCAGACCTCATCGACTTTGAAGGCAAGATGCCAGAAACAGCTCCAACAGGTATATCAACCAGTCCAGGTACCTTTGTTCCTGTCTACACATATCGGTGTTAACAAGTGGTCCAGATGCCGCTGAGCCATGGACGGTTGAAAAGGCCTTGGCTGGGAATGATTTGGTTCAAGGGTCCAAGTCGCCAATCTCCCTATTTCACCTTCTAGGGGGCCTCAAGACGACAAAGCGAGAGGGATGGAAGAGACATGGCATTAAGTAAGTCCAGTCCAGCATGGGATGCACGACTAGTTCTCAACCAGCACCAGCCCCGAGTCGGTCGCAGACCATTCGTATAGGATGGGCATGATAGCCATGTTCGCTCCTCAGGGCCTCGACCAGGTCAAGTGTATGAAGATGTGTATGATCCACGACGTTGCTGAATCGGTCGTGGGCGACATCACCCCATTCAGCGGAGTGTCTAAGACCGAGAAGGCCAGACGGGAAACGGCAACCATCGAGTATATTGCCACTAGATGGGGCGGGCATCATACCTCTGAGCTGCGAGAGCTATGGCACGAGTTCGAGGCCGCCGAGACTCCGGAGGCCCAGTTTGCGCAAGATATTGACAAGATCGACCTGATGCTGCAGGCTGTCGAGTACGAGAAGGACGGCAAGGGTCAGCGAGACCTGGGCGAGTTCATGGGCGTTGCACGTAAGCTGCGTACCGAGGCCGGCAAGGCATGGGCGGAAGAGATCCTACTGGAGAGGGAGAAGCTCTGGGAGGGCCGTGAGCATGTCAGAGGAGAGCAGGCAGAGAAGGGTGGTGTGTCCACAGAGGCTCAGAAACTGCAGGACGCATACTATGCCTAGCGGAGACAGGACGGAGTAGATGCTCCCAATCATGATATGGTTTCATCGTCCGAGGCCATGAGAAAATGACTGCTCAATAGATGACTGCTCAACAGGTTTGTGATATCAGTAACATCCTCCCTTGTGGTGGAGGTTGTCTATGACTGTGACTTGACCGAGGATCAACCCACCACCCAATGCAAACCAGGCAGGCGCTATCACGCACAGTCCTCTTCGAATGTGATAAGACCTAGAGGCTGGCAACCTGCATACCTAGACATGCATTAGTTGGTTGTCACTGATGCCCGAGAAGTCTCAATTCCTGGTGCTTGGAAATAGTAACAAAGACAAAAAGCAATGACTTCATGTCGAGGACAGGGAGGATTGGCCAAAAGGGCGGGAGCAACTGCCGCATCGGATAGATGCTGCAGCTCTGGCCTCCCTGCAGCTCCTGCCGCTGCAGTCAAGGCAACTACGCCAGCCACACTTTACCTGGACGGGATGGATGCAATGCAAAACAACCCATCAACCGCTAATTTCGCCCTGTTTTCCCTCCTCTCGTCACAATTACAACATCCCCTCAAACACTTTGACAAGTGCCCTGAACCCAAGGGTCGCGTTGTTACATCCTCAAACTCGACCCCTTTCCGCACCAACGGATGAGACATTAGTTCAACGGTTACCTCAAACGTCAGGCTCGTGACTCAGGTTTCTAGGGCGTCGCGGCCACCGAAAAGCAAATTACCTTTTCCGAGACAATTTGCGCAGCCCTATTCCCACCTAGGGCCAAGGACTCGTGTGGGGGACCTCACCAGGGGAAGGCACCACGATACCACAGACGATCGGGACCGAGGTGGGGGAATCGATGGGGGAGAAAGATCTAGATGCGTGCCGTCCAAATGGGCGGCATCATTGAGGAGAGCTGAATGACCCTTGCACAGCTGGTTGGTCCGTCACGGAGACGGTGCTAAACGGACACAGTTGTCGAGATTAGCTGCCTCTTGACAAAGCCGGTGCTCCGTACGGATATTTCCAGGCTGGCCGGGGCGTCTGCAGGCCTTGTGCCGTCGTCACCATTACAAATGTTGGTGTTGGGACTATTCAATAGTCAGGGCGCACGAGGAGAGAGTCCGAGAAACGCATTGTCGCCCTTCAACAACCAGTCCTCAGCCACAATCCGTTCAGGACAAGATCGTCGCTCCGACATGACCTGAATGCGTTTCACGATGCAGCAAACATGACCTTGCAGAAGCTGACCTGTCGGTCAGGTCTTAAACGGGTTGTCAGTGACGATCCCCCAGTCCCGACTTTTTGGATACAACTCGAGATCAACACAGATTCTTGCGTCAAGCTGTCGTCTCCACCAGCAACAGGGAACAGGGAACAGGGCACTTCGTATAAGGTGCGCGTCCATCCCGTGTACGACAGGGCCGGACGCCTGCCAGCCTTCTTAGCCTCAGAGCCCGTGCTTCGTGCAGTCCCTGGGACATGAGGTCGAGACACTGTTGGGTGTGGACTGGAGTTTAGTGAGGTCAATGTTAAGCACCTCACCGGAACGCTGGCTCAGGGCTAGCTGGTCACGCCCTGACTGACAAGTTCACGCCAACTCGTAAGCGTTGGCTCAGGGCCTGGCTTTCAGTTGCCCTGCTTTGGGACCTAGGCTACTGCAGCCAGCATTCAACGTCTAACTCACCTCTTGTGTGACGTCGACCGTTGATGCGGACTGGCCGATGGCATTGACGCCAGCCTTGAACATACTTCGACTACACATTCCCGTCGGCACAGGGCAGAGGAGGCGGTAGGGCGTACAGGGGTAAATGTAGCCGCTGCCTTTGCTTGGCTGGCTGGGAGAAAACATGGCAAAGTCGAGCAGCCAAGAGGGCACGAGCTGAAAGCCATCATTTCTTTTTCCTTCAGAGATCTCGACTGGCCTGGCGCGGCCACCAATCCGCTTCGCTCAAAGCTCGAGCACAAGCCACACCGAAACACAAACTTCGCGCCGTCTATCCTCGAGTTCCGATTCTCCGCCACCAGTCACCATTCACAAAGCAAGGATTATGACGGCCACTAAGATCTAAGCGAAAATAGAGTGCCATTCCCTGATCCTAACTTGAGAGATAGTGGGCTCCCAAGCAAGACCCACCGTGCCCGATCGATCCGTCTTTCCTGACCACAGAGGCATCTGGGAGGCACAGAGCACAGCAAAGATGGAGGGGAAGGCTGCTTTCCGAGAGGAGAATTTTGCTCTCAGGGTCGTTTATGATTGCCCAGTTCTCCGAGCCCCTGTCACCGTGCGTCCATGTCCAGGTTTTAACGCAGAGCTAGCGGGTAATCACAACCACCCTGAAAGCACGATGATGCTGGGACAAGTCAACAGGCGTCGGTGCCAAGCAGAGGACACCTAGACGCGTCGTCCAAGGCTCGATTCACCCTCCCAACTACCTCGCTCTTCGGTCAAAGAGAGACGAAAGTTCGTGGGATAAGCACTTTGACCGTGTCCCTGGGTTTCGAGAGCCATGGCTGTCGCGAGGCGGCATCACTTTTCGGAGAGTTCACTGCTAAAGCCTTGCCAGGTCCACCTCGCCCCAATTCCCCTTACATCCGGAGCCATCTGTTCTAGTGGAATATGCCATGTAGGTCTACGGTAGACTGGGGAGGCTAGCCTTAGTGGGCATTAAAAGGTTCCGGCATGCTGGTCACTCCCCAGCGGGCGTGTGTGCCTCAAGCCAGCCACTGGCCACTCTGAATGACCAGGAGGCGGCTTCTTGTGCATCTCTGGTCTCCTCCAGCAGGTTATTTAATCCCTACACTATCCTCTTGTCCTGGGCTGCGGAGTTTTGTTTGAAAGTTGCTTGATTCCGTCCCTCAGCTTCTTGCCCTCACTTCTCAACAGCCACTTTCATCCGTTCTTTTATTATATTGTTTCTTCGCCCAAGATGGGTCTTCTCCCTCTCACTTACACCCGTCCCAAGCATGTGGACCAGGAGACGTTCCGCAACAGCGGAGACTCATTCTCTGACACAGAGAAGAGCGATGGGTCCGTCAAGTCTGGTCGCTCTGGCTATTCTGCTGGCATTCCTGATTCACTCGCCTTTGACAAGATCATCAGCGGTGGCACCTGTCCGGTAAGTTGAGCTCGTACATCTCGTCTTGTGAGTCTGAGAAGAATGCTAACTCCTCCCCACAGCCCATGACTGTCCGTGACTTCATGAGCTACCTCATCTATGTCGAGCATGCCGCCGAGAATCTTCAGTTCTACCTCTGGTTCAAAGATTATGAGAAGCGGTTCAATACCACCTCGACGGCCGATATCAAGCTGGCCCCGGAGTGGACACAGACTATGCAAGACGAGACGGTTCTCAAGATCCGAAAGGATCAAGCCGACAAGATGCGAAAGGAGCCCAAGGCGGCAGAGATGTTCAAAGGCACAGACTTTGATAAGAAGCGAGGCGCCCACGAAAATGTGTTGGGCGGATCTGACCCGTTTGCGACGCCTCCGCAGAGCAGCAGAGGCGATGACGGTTCAATCTACACGGCATCCAACACAGTCCATTCGCTCAACGCTGCGAGCTATCAGAGCCAAGCCTCAGAGGCATTCCAAGCGGCTGGGGCCCGGCAGCCTTGTGAGTCAAGACATTTCCAAACATGGAACGGGTTCAGAAAGTTAACATTTAGACAGTCACGATCCAACCGTTCCGGGAAGAAATCAACCGAGTGATTGCGACGTATCTGATGGACGGTGCTCCCCGACAACTGAACCTGTCGTCTTGTGAGCAGAGGGCGGCTATCCAAGCACTGTCCCAAACAACTCACCCAAGCGCCTTCCGCAATGTCTTCAAGACGGTTGACTCGAGTCTTCGGCATCAAGCTCACCCCAACTTTGTCAGATGGTCCATCTGCAACGGAAACCCTGCACGCGTCTTCTTTGCGCGATCATTGGGCGTGGGGCTGATCGTGGCAGGTATCGTGCTGGGCATCATTCTTGCCCTCAGCAGCGCGGGGCGAGGCTACCGAGCATTGGTGGCGATCGCGCTTATACTGGGTATCAGCACGCTGGTCGCAGCCTACAAAGGCATGTGCGTCGTCCTCCACGGAATGCATCACCGGCACGTGAGGCCGTGGGAGCTGTTTGTGGACAGTGAGAACGTGGATGACATGGAGAAGCGAAGCTTTGAGTCGTTTGGGTCGACCAACAGCTACGAGGATGAGCCATGGATCGTCAAGTATGAGAAGCGCAACATTGTCCGCAAGGTGTTTGATCGCGAAGTCTGGATCCAGGAGCCTGCACTGCGACAGATCCAAGATACCATCTTCATCCAGGCGATCCTAGCTTCAGTCCTCTTCGGGGGTGTTATTACGGCGGTCTTTGTGGCCATTCCCGGGGGAGGATACTTTTAGAAGTCTACAATCATTTTGATTTCCTTTGTCGTCTTGGTAATTCGCTGGAGAGGGATACCCTGGTAGTTTTGTTTGCTTGGCAGTGAGTCAACTGGAGTCTAGTCATGTACGGGTAAATGCCCGCGTCTCGAGGTCTAGAGGCCTTGTAGGATATAATTAGAGACAGCTTGAGAGGTGTAAAAGATATTCATTTGTTGTTGATGCTCAAAACAATCATATCACAGATGCCATGCCCCGTCTGTTAATTCCGTGACAAGAGCCGACTCCGGCATTTGGCCCAAGCTCGGCATCGGCATAAGCTGCCCGCCCGCCTCATGCAGCCTTGGCCCCTCCTCTACCAATGCACCACACGCACAGCACCGCCCGGGCCATCGGGATTACTGTGCGTGCAGAGAGACTGTGTAAGTGGTGAAGCAATGTCGAGGCTACAGTGTGAATGTGAATGTAAGTTGAGTGAGGGTGAAAACAGGGCTATAAGGGGGGGGCAACAAGTGAAGATCATATGACAATGGACGTCGCCCGGAGAAAAGGAGAACCTTTGATGTGTGTGTGCTCGGGCGGCGTTTGTTGAGAGCACGCGCCATTAAAATGAATGAATAGACTGGGGAAACCGAGAGGAATGG